AAAAAAAAAAAAAAAAAAAAAAAAAAAAAAAAAAAAAAAAAAAAAAAAAAAAAAAAACTGAACGAAGCTAATGAAATTAAGGATGTAGAATTTTCTGTTTTTTTTTTTTTTTTTCTTGAGCTGCTGATATTTTTATTATGTTTACAATTTACCATTACTTTGAAAGGGCACGCAACTCTGTTCATGCTGTGTGTTTGATTTTTTTGATTATTGAAGAAAGCTATTTCTGTATATCATTGTACAGTTGGTAATTTGTTACATTTGCAGGCTTTGAAGAAAGATTTCAGAAAGAAGCAGGTCTCTGTTCATCTGCTGTTCGTCCTGCTCTTGTGAAGGTAATATATCCTTACAAAACATAAGGAACTGATTTTGAGATTGTTTCACTCAACAATCTGAATTTGTGTTCGTTGTCTTTGCTGTAAGGAACTCGACATGTTTGCTTGGATTGATGAGGGGATAATATCCTTTTCTTTTTGTAGGCTCCAGAATACATGCCAGAGAATTTATCCTTGTATTCAGCATGGATTGGAGGCGCTATTCTTGCCAAGGTTGTCTTCCCCCAAAATCAGCATATAACTAAGGCAGACTATGATGAAAATGGGCCTTCAATCGTTCATCGGAAATGCTTCTAATGACGCTCTCTAATACAAATCTTTCAGTATTTGTTTCTCTTCCTACTTTTAGAATATTACATAGATGTATAGTGGTAGGAAACTAGTTCTGCGCTATGAGGTTTGATAGTTGTACAAGTGTGGATCTGTATTTAGTCTAAATGTTAAAGAGTCATCACACCCATTAGTTATGTGACATAATAGGATAATAGAATTGAATCCTATCAATGTAAGTCATCTTTAACAATGTCATGCTAGGGATTGGATTTTGGATCCTTCACTTAGAACTCAAGTGAATTAATATTGAAGAATTAAGACCACATGTTTTTGACTTTTGATCATTGGTTTTGTCAACTCGGCTCAATATTTCATTTTGAACAAGCAGCGTTATCGAAGATATGGAGACTTCTTCAGCGGTTGACAACAGCTGGTGGATATAAGATATGTATCCTATCGATTATGTAACATCAGAGTAATTTTAATTGTTTTATATATCTTTTTAGTTTAGTATTTGTATGCTGTAATAGAAAAATCTTATTGTTAAGAGTACAATTATTCAGATCAAATTGCTTATGAGATGAGTAATTTTCTCTAGTAAACTAGTTTTCCTTCCTGTGGTCGTACCTAGGCAAGGCCTTGTCAAAGTATTCTTGCCCACTATAGGAATATTCTCTCTCTTTCTCCTTCGTAATTGTTACAAAGGAGTTAATCAATTCTTAAACATTTAATACGAAAAACAGAGATAATTATTGCCTTGGGACCCCACTCGGTGGGAGGTTGGGTTTAGAAATTTCCTTCAAGAACTGATAGTGAACAAACTCTTATTACATTCTTCAGCCTGCATTTATAATAAATTCTGGAACATAATGTGTTTTTGACAGCACTAACGAGAAGGAAAAGATTGTCTGATAAACATATTAATGGAAAGAAATTGAGGAGAAGAGAAGAGAAAAGAAGCCACTAGGAAACAAATGGGTCACTCTGCAGGGAGGGTCCCAGCTCAGTGAATAAAGACCCAAAATCCAAAATACTGCTATCCACACATCACAATGTAATAATGAACTTTGCTGCACCATTGGTACAATGGTCAAGTTGGAGGGTCTCTTCTCCTTGCATCCCTACCCTCCAAAATGTCTTCTTCTCTTTCATTGCCTTTTGGACACCTATTTTGTACCATTAACCATGTATAACTTGTTTTCCCTTGCCTTTTTTAAGTTAGTCAATGGCCTGATGAGAGAGAAAGATCTTACTATTCCATTGATTCTTAGTGGAATTTAATACAGGTCATCTTTAAGGATGTACAAATAATTGATCAAGATTGAGGATCTTGAGAGAGAGATAGAGAGATCTGGTCTATCTTTTGGTAATCCCCTTGATCAAATTTGAGCACACAACCCCAGATATTTATACAAATGGCTTGCTCGATGGTGATTGAGATCTAAGATCTCAAGGATTGCCCACTTTGAGTAGACTCTGATTATTGGTCCACTTCCCATCTTTGTCTGGGTGCAACCTTGTCATGGACAGCCACATACTCCTGCAAAACATAGCCAAAATACAATGAGTAATCCTTTCTTTTCGTGCCTTTTCGGACAAAAATCTGTTTCCCACCAATAATTCAGCAACCTCTAATAGAGCACCTTCTCCCCTTCCTACCTCCATTGTCTGTATTAGTTCCTCTGCTGTGTTTGCTATTACCACTATTTTCCTGGCTGCATTGTCTATGAAACCTTCCTCTACTCCTTTGTCGAATAAGGCAAGCAAGCTGTCGTAGTACCCATCTACATTTAGCAATCCTACCTGATAACACATTTTTCAAAACCAATAAAAGGGCAAGATAACAATAAACCACTCCAATCACATCTCTGTTTCTTGTTTTTTTGTTATTAGTTGTTCTCAAGAACACTGTTGGAATTGTGAATGAACCAAGGAAGTAAAGAATGGAGATCTGAAAAACCATCTTTGTCGTATTCTTTACTCTTTTTTCCAGAAAGTTGTCAATAAAAATCCATATCTTACTGGCTTGTCATGAATTCCTAGCTGAGCCCAAGTTATCATCTCTAGCAATTCTTCCATGGTTCCATAGCCACCTAATTCAACGGATTTTAAGTTTCTGCCAGTTAAGTAAATGAAACAAGCCATTTTCAGGGCAAATACACACACAGTCTATATTTGTTATAATAACCTGGAAGAGCTACAAATGCATCAGCATGTTTTGCCATTTCTGACTTCCTTTGGTGCATATCTGCTACTGTTTTCACTTCTCCGACAGTCTCTCCTGATATCTACAAGTGGGGTTTCATTAATTTAACAAAGAAAAAGAAAACAGCTTACATTCCAAAAGACCTAGGAAGGAAACTTGCAGAAAAGGTACCTCATGAATCTGAAGTGCCTTGGGAATCACTCTGTACATCATGAATGAAACAACAAAATTAGCAACATGGTAAACAGAAATGTAAATTTGTATGAAAACATACCCAAGTACATGGCAGCCTCCAGAGAACACAGTTTGAGAGATCAAACCCATTAGGCCCACACTTCCTCCCCCATAAACCAAGTCTATTTTTCTCTGAACCTGATACAACCAAGAAAAGATTAGGACTTTCAACTTTTGTGGGAAAACATTACATACAACTTGAAGAAGAACGAGAAGAGCAAAAAATATAGAATAAATACTTGTAATTATAGTATAGTCCATTGATTGATGTAGAAATTACCAGTATTTTACCAAGTTCAATGGTGGCTTCAGCATATGTAGACTTGTATCCAGCTTTGCTGCCACAGAATACACACACCCTTTTGAATCTTCCCAATTTCTGTTCAGTTGTCGAAGATAAATCTGTTCCCTCCATTCTTCACACACACACACACACACACACAGAGTTGAGAGGAATTAGGAGACAACAACCTTTGATTTTGTGAGTTAGCTATTTCTTTCTGTCAGACAAAATCTCGTCTGCTTTAACGAGATCTCTATCTTCTCATCCTTTTATCGTCTCGACACCAACAAGACGCGACCCACTCTTTGAATTCTTGTGGAATTCATGGCAATAAACTTGAACCCATTCTCTTTCCTTTTCTGTTCATCTGTCTCTGACTAACAACTTGGCTTTTATCATTTTGTTGTCCTGCATCCCTTCCCCTCTTAGTACATGATGGGCCTCAACTTAATCATCCACTCTCTAACCTTAGCTTTATATATAGCTCTGTGGAATCCTCGGAGCTTTTGCATTTATTTTCACAAAGGAAAGTATCAAACCAATGATAATCATAAATAGAGATTAAAGTCAAGGGAGAATCATTCATTTATGATGCAATGGATTCATCTTTTTTTTTTAATATATATATTAGAGGTCTAAGCCTTTTTTTGTCTATTTATTATTGTCTATATCTTGGTTGAACTGACATTTTGAATCAATTGATTATGTTAAAGATTAAAAGGGGAGTTCACACTTCTTTGCACTATGTCATTTCACCTAATATTCATAAATGTTCATCGGGTGACCAACTGAACATTAATATATTATGAATGGTTGTTAAGACCTATGAAAATAAATAATGTGGCAAGTTTCTGATGGACCATTAGCAACATTGCTAGGTTAGACTATTTGATTTATCAATTTGTTTTGCAGCAACATAGAGTCCGATAAAACTTTCAATATTTGTTGGAGATTCTCTTTTGATCTTCCCTATGTATTTGACACAGACTAATATTCTTGTTTTATGGTTCATTAATTTGACCCTTCAATCACAAAGCTCTCAATAATATTTGGCTTGTTGTCTTGTTAGCAGCTTTCTTTCTAATTTCTTGTTATCTTGCAGTGGTTCTAGACCTTTTACAACCATTTGCAATTGAAAAAGATCAGTGAGAGAGAAAGAGATGATTATGGAACTCAATATGGCTAAAAGTATTGAGAGAAAACTACTAGGCCAACCAAAAACATGTGGTTGTCTCTCTCTTTCTCTCTCTTTTGAATTCAACTGCAAATATTTTTTCAGGTTACTGATTGATCTGCCCCATATGTTAGACGCCATCAGCATCACATGGTTAAGTCTCTTTCTCCCCCTTGCTTTTGATTCTAACTCTAAATATATATCAATTTGCAGTCTCTTGATCTGTGTCTCCATCAGAATGAGTTTTGTAATAAGCAGAAGGATATTAGATGGTTGAAATGAAAACCCCCAGAATTCCAACCCTCTATTTGTTGGGTTTTGAAGGGGTAAAAGTGCAGAGAATTATAACAGTTTTTACTGTTATTTGTTCCAAGTGTTGCTTTCTTTCATCATAAGAAAAGCCTTGATTAAAGAATTAAAGATGGGTCTGATGTATGCTTAAATTATCATCATCCTAATGAAATTGGGATCTTGAGAGCATGTTCTGAGGACCCATATTTAGATTCTTCTCTCATCCCATCCATCCTTTTCTTATTAGAGAGAGACAGAGAAGGCAAAGTTATATCCATTTAGATATTGCTTCATCATGTTTTTTCCTTTCTTTTGCAGATTTAATATGCGCAATTGGCCACCACCCAAAGCAAAGGATGTCATAATCTTATTAAAGCTGCAATTAACCAAAAAAAGGTCAGAGTCAATGAATTGCTTTTCTTGTTAAAGCTTGTGAAAACAATACAAAATCAAGCTCCTTCTATTAAGAATAAAAATAAATATGGATATATTTATTTCTTTTTGGTACTAAATTTTTTATTAATAAAATCTGATAATTTTAGAATTTTTAATTAATTTAAAAGAATTTGGACATGCCATTTTTTTAAAATTTTAGAACTTTTGGTAGAATATAAGATTTAAAAAATGTTAAAAAAAAAAAAAAATAGGGTGAGTGCCCTTTATTATAATTAAAAAAAAAAAAAACACAGTTGAAAGGTATTGATTTCCATGATCCACCTTTCTGTTCCATCAGAAAATTAACACGTTTTATTCTTGGGAAGCTGAATTCTTTTGGGGTTGGTCCATTCTAACCATTATTATATGGGCCATACGAGCCCATTACAAGCAATTTCTGTAAAATGAGTTATGGGCTTTGAAGAGACTGGTATTTTACGGAAATTATTTATTTAGTTTTTTTTAGCATGGAATCTTACGTCGATTGGAGATGATAATGAAACATTACTTATAAGGGTGTGGAAACTTTTTACTCACATACCTGTTTTAAGACCTTAAGAGGAAGCCCTGCTCTAAAGAGGACTATTTGTTAGTAATGGGTTTGGAATGTTACAAATAGTATGAGAGTCAGACATCGAGTGGTGTGCCAACGAAGATGCTAGGCCTCCAAGGAAGATTAATTGTGAGATCCCACATCGGTTGGAGAGTTTTTTTAAACCTTGAGGGGAAGCCCGAAAGAGAAAGTTCAAAGAAGACTATCTTCTAGCGATAGGCTTGAGCTGTGAACAAATACGAGTTTAATGATATGATTATATAAATAATGTCTTTTAACTTTATATGTTTTTGTTATGTATAATTTAATGTATGCACACACTTGAAAATGAATATCATCTGAAAACAAGCACACAAAGTTGAATACATACACAGCACATAACTGCGTCTAAAATAAATTACGAGTCTGCACACATCAAATCTTTGTGTTTCAGAGACACAATTCAGAATTAGAATTACATAGGAAATAGAAAAGGTAAAGAGAAAGGAAATAGCAGAGCGAAAGTACCACATTTTTGGTGCACTGCATTTCTTCATCCTCCTTCAACTAAAGCCAAGAATGAATTGCCTGAGAAACACAGCCAAAAGCGGTGTTCTTCCCAGCAGAGAAGGGGGTAAATTCACCAACTTGTGCAACCAGAAACACAGCCTTAAAAGAATCAACGATCTTCAACGATCTTACTGAATCTCGAGTTTTTTGCAGTGAAACTGGTTAAACAGCGTTGGAGAAGGAAGCCCCATTCCCATCAAGAAACTTTCACTTGATGGGGACGGCCCTCTGTGGAGCCGCATTCACCTGCATGCTTTCATCAGCAAGTTTTGAATTGTATGTGGATAAACCTGGCCATTCGACTTTCCACCATTGAAGAAAGCGTGTGTTATCTGCATATTTTGAGGCATGAACTCTTTGTCCTCCTTTTGTTGACCATCAAGTGTATCCTTCATTCCATTTTCATTAGCCACCATGTAATTTGATCCACTCTCACTGACAGGTTCTGATACATGGTTGATACCAGAATTGATGTCTTCCTCCATAGTTTTATTGGAAATAACACTGTTCGGCTTTTTGGTATTCAGGAAACGTCCTCCGCTGCCTCTTGCTCGTCTCATAGCATGGAGATGTCTGGATTCATGAAGATATGGCTGCACAAAATGGAAAAGAGTATCCAGAAAACGAAATTATGGGATACAACTATGATCAATTGTAATATCGATAAGAACAGAAAGACAACTTCTAGCAAAAGTTTCTTTCAATAACTAAAGTGTTCATTTTTGGTCCGCTTAGTCCTTGAATGAAACAAGTTAGCTGCTATACCTTTCTACTTTTTATCACTTTCTTCTCAAGCTCAGCTTTGGCACGCGACTGTCTTCTCCTCAGGATACCATGATACTGCTTTGCGTTCACATAAACAGGCTCTGCTTCCATTTCAAGGGGTAATGGCATCCTAGCATGGTGAAGTCCATAAAAATGAGGTAACTGCAGGGAAATCAAGTATAATCATAATCCTTGAACAGCCAATCAGCAAGTAGGATCTATACAAAAGGATCCCCCATTCTTATATGCATTCTTGTTCAGTAAAACTCAGAGTTAAACAATATATCATAAGAATTGCAAGAAACAAACATGACAAGGATATATGATGGGCCTAAGAAGTACGCATTTAGCGTCTGTTCATACCGAATAAATTTCAACAATACATAATAAACACAGATGAGTACCCTGGTAGGATGCCTTTCGTTTCTATGCAAGGCAAATGATCATATGAATTAGCAAAAGAAACTGTACCAGAGATCAGAGCATACCGTTGTTTGTGGTCCATATGAAGTCAGCATTTGACAACATTGTGCATCTGAAAAAGGATATGATGTCAAAACCTGCAAATGGAGATCCTTGAAGTTCTTTTGAAATCCAGTAAAGACAAAAACAAAGTCTAAAATTCCCAAATATCTATTTCTTCGAGGGAAGAAATATATCATTAGTCATTGCAGACGAATGAAGAACTTAGGCACCTACTCATATACATTGATTTCAGAGAGAAAGATAGACAGTTCGTTCTTACAATCGAGTGGCCAATAAGTTCCATCTGGGAATTTGGATCTAGGCGTTCGCCCACGGGTGGGGATGTCGAAAATGGAATGTACTTGAGATGCTGAACTTCTTTCCCAGTATTTTCATCTGATCCAAGAAAAGTTTCAATATCTTACTTAAATTGTGTTCATAGGAAGCATATTAAATTAACTAATACCATTTGCTTGTGAAAGCATAGCTGCACTGGTAACAGTAACGTCCAGATATTCAGCAGAAGATGTTTTGGTAGCATCTTCATCAGTGATGGTATTGTTCCCAACGCCATGCCACCAAGGCTCAGAGTATTTGGTTGATTGCAGCAAATACTTTGCCCCATCAACAACTTCTTGTTCTACAATTCCTGGTTTTGAGGGCATTGTTTGAAACTTGTTCTGCCACCCCAAAAGGAAGAACATTAGAAACAAAAACAATATAAATCACTTCTACTTATACCACACCGGATTCCATGGTTTGGGGCTGCTCTAAAAAAAGTCCAAGCCTTCTCCAAAGTAAGTCGAGGGGTTAAATTATTATTCATCTGAAGATTCAAGCACATGAACAACAGGGAGGACACGATCTTATTGTAACAGTCCAAGCCCACCGCTAGCAGATATTATTTCTTTGGATTTTCCTTTTGAGCTTCCCTTCAAGGTTTTTAAAATGCATCTATACAAAGAGGTTTACACACCCTTAAAAAGAATGTTTCGTTCTCTTCCCCCAACGGATGCGTGATCTCACACTTACCCAGTTCTATAACCCTAAGCAACCCGGAAATTCCTCACGTCTCAAAATCATTGAAGAGCTCCAGAATGCCGGATGATCATTCAATGGGGACAGAAACTCATCAGAGATCCATATAACTCATCTACAAAACATTACAGGGCTTCAAGATATCATGAGATATACATCCAAAACAGACTACACAAACTTCAATCTCAGCAATTTCCATAGATCCAAAACAGAGGCTCTATAGATATATTTCTCTGGTTGCCGAAAATCATGCAGCAAAT